CACCAGCAATGCAGGAGAGTTCCTTTTTCTCCACATCCTCGCCAACATTTGTTGTTGCTAGTTGTTTGAAGATGTGTCAGGCTACTTTTTAAGTGATAGATTTCATAGTAGTTTAAAATTATGAAACCCTTTTATGGCTTCTCCCCGTCTTGATGTTAATAAAGATATACCAAGTTATCACCACTGGTACAGAAAGAGGTATGTGGAAAATAGAAGTTTCATGAATCAGTCACCAGTATTGGTGTTATAGTCTTTATCTTTTTTGTTAATATTTTATCCTTTTACTCTTAGCCACCTCTTGTACAGCACTAAAGATTCCCTGTCTGCTTAGTCTGTAGTAGTCTCCTTACTGTTGTCTTGACACTACCCTTAGCTTCCTCTTACTCATTGGGGTGTCCTTTCTGTACTGTTATCTCATTCCTGTATTCAGAAGAATATACTTGATGTAAAATCTAACCACATATCCTTACCCCATAATACATTATCTTGCTTTCATGCTTTTGTGTAAAATCAATAATAATTATTGAGGCCTACAATAGTGTAGGCCTTGAACTAGGAGGTTGGCAAAAGTTACCTTATTTGTGACTCCAAGCCAACTCCTATTTACTCCCGTTTTACAAAAGAGGAACTGTAGAGGATACGTGACAGCTAGCAAGTGAGCCTTAGTTCAAGCCCAAGATTAGTCTTAATTTTAAAGCCCATGCTCTTCCCACTATACCTGCTTTTTTTGCACAGAAATCTTCCCCCTCCCTCAAGCCATGTTATTGCTCTTCAAAGAGCCATTCAGAATGCACTTCCACAAAGCCTTCCCAAATCAGCACTACCTTACTCAGCTTCCTTGCATTATTTGGAAACTTTCAGCAACATGTTACTACTAATTTTTTCTCCGTAGAGGTCGGGGCAGGGGGAGAAAGACTTTGTCTACATTGTCCTAAAGACTGTACTTGTGAGAAAAGATTATAGCCTTTTCTTTCATAGCTGTCCACAGCAGTCAGGTGAGTGCCCTGCATTTGGTAGTATTTTTATAGTTGACCTTCTGTGTGGTATTTCTAAAAGGACCCTAATTTTTTATTTCTCTGATAGGTTCTTCAAGGTGTACATCTTAAAGGTAAAGCAAAACAGAAAATCCTTCAACAGCCACTTCCTGATAACTCCCAAGAGGTTGCTGCTGAAGACCATAACTACAGTTTGAAGAGACCTTTGACAATAGGTACAGAGAAATTGGCCGAGGTGCAACAGATGCTACAGGTGTCCAAAAAAAGACTTGTTTCTGTAAAAAACTACAGGATGATCAAAAAGAGAAAGGATTTACGATTAATTGATACACTTGTAGAAGAGAAGCTACTTTCTGAAGAAACAGAGTGTCTGCTAAGAGCACAATTTTCAGGTATATTCCCAAATGACCTGTAATATTTATAACATAGTTTTACATTTTTTCTGAAAAGTCATTAAGAATTTACTTTGTTGTTGCCTATGAAAATACGCTTTGAGAAATGAAAAGGCTTAGTAGTGTAAGCTAAAAGATATGAAACCTCCACAATCCTGTTTTAGTCTTACCATTTTAAAAGTAATGTTTATTATAGGAAAAAATATTAATATGTGATAAAAATAACACACAATTTTATTACCAATGATGAACTCACAAAAAACTAGTGGATATTACTAGTGTTAGAATTCAGGTTACTGTTTTAAGTACGTGACAGCTTTCTAAATACTTAGAAATTATATAGCCTTTTTTTGATTCCTCCCAATAATATTGATCTTGATACAAAATACTGTATTTTTCACTTTATAATAGCACTCTCCTGTGTTACTGCAAATTTTTGATAAATTCTTTATTAACTGCTTCATAATTGGTAACTAAAGTCTTTTTTGCAGTGGAGTTGAATTAGATAATTTGCAAAATTCCTTTGAACCTGAAAATTGTTTGGTTCTCAAAATTTCTTTCTAAAGAATTCTATAGTATTTATGTGTGTGCATATGTGTGTCTACACACTGAAAGACTACCTAGTTGTCTTTGTGAGTCAGAATATTTGAAAGGGGCAAAATTGGAACTGTGAATTTACTCTTTGATGAAAGAAGTAGATTTGGATTTGCATCCTGGTTTTTAAAAAGAGGCACAAAAAAGAAAGTATCTCCAAAGGTGGAGAGTATTGTGTGCTTTTATTAGAGGGGAAGAGAGGTAATACATAGTGGTCTCTACCAAGACGAATTTTGTTTTTGCTCTCAAAGGTAGGCAAGATTGTCTATCCAAACTGCATAGTATCTAGTCCCAAGAATGGCACACAGTCTAATTTTTAACCTCAGATAAATGGCAGCCAAGAAAAACAAAACAAATAGATGGCCTAATGACCCAGAGATTTAATTTTATCTAGTGATTTCATTTTCATCCATGTTCCCTCTACAAATCTCTACTCAGGCTGCCAATAAATAGTAAAATGTAATAGTAAAATGTAACATTTTTCTTCTCTCTCTCTAGTGAAATAATCCACAATGAACAGGAGAAACTGGTCATAAGACCCTAAGAATAGCTGTTAATCTCTGTACTAACTCAGTGAAAATGTGATTGTATTATATTTGAATTTTGATGTGATGATTGGGGCATTTAATATTCAAATATTATGACTTGAACTTAAAAATGCTACTGTACATTTTTTATCACAAACAATAAAATTATTTTAACAGATTTTAAGTGGGAGTTGTATAACTGGAGAGAGACTGCTGACTACTCCACAGAGATGAAACAGTTTGCGTGCACACTCTACTTGTGCAGTAGCAAAGTCTATGATTATGTAAGAAAGATTCTTAAGCTGCCTCACTCTTCCATTCTCAGAACGTAAGTGAATTACTTTTTAGATGTTAAATAAATAAAAGAAATATTTCGTTCTTTTATTGCATTTTATACATCAAGGTTATTAGTATTTCATGTTCCTATTTGTAGTATTTCATGTTCCTATTTGAATACGAACATTGTATTCGTCTTTCTAAAAACTTCTGGGTGGTATTTGCGCTTGTCATTATGGTGACATTGTCACCAACAGAATGAAGATATCCTGATAAATGTTTTGCATATTTCAGGTGGTAGAGTCACGCTGGCTGATAAAATTTGAATCTTGAAATTTCTAATATATCTCAGTAGTTTTAATATCTGTATATGCTAGAAAATCTAGACAAATTCTAACTTTGATGTCATTGGTTCTAGGCAAAGCATGCAAAGCTACGTTCTTAGCACTGTGTAGTTTGTGTAGGGGCCAGATCTTGATAAGAAATTTTTTAGGATTTGTGGTCCAAGTATATAGGTATCATTCTCTTAGTGTGAAACAACTAACAGCATTTTATAGTAATGCCTTATAAATTTAATACTGTTTTTATAACTAGGTTTACAGATTTGTTTTTATTTACTTTTTTAAATCTACTTAACAACAAAAATTCACTGTCTAGCATTTTGGGAGGCTGGAAGGTCAAAATGAAGGTCATGAAATACTTTGGGAGCATATGAAACTCTTAGTTAAATAGAGGCCTCTATCCAGTAAGAAATCTTGGCAGCCTAAAATACGCCCCAAAATCAGAAATTTAAGCCACTCCTTAAAAAAATTAAAAATTTGAGTTCCAAAACCAAACTTCAGTTAAGGTGAACATCTGTCTCTACCTCAAAGTTCATGAAATCTTGTTTTAGACAGATTATTACACTTGGTTATTTCTTTCTCTCATCTGTAAAAAATTAGATAGTAAATTAGAACCAAGTGAAGAGAATCATGAATAATCTGTGACAGGATAATCAGCAATCTGGAAGGTCAGAGACACTTGGGTAAAAGAAAAAGCAACCCCCAAGAAAGTGGCACAGCATTTGTATAGTGCCAAACAGATGCAGGCACCTTACTTGTCCTTACAGGGCATATTGTGAGGCTGTAAGGAACACTAAGTCAAAACATGAATGGGCATCAGGAATGCAAGGTTCATATTTTTACATAACTGGCAGCACAATCTTGACCAGCTGGCGTAAGCTCTTCCCCTGTCTAGTTTCCTGCATCTGTAAAAAAAAATGATGTATTGCAGGTTTAATTTTCTTCCCCTTTAACAATTTGTTTCAGTGGGTTCACATCAATTAGAAACAACTAGGTAATTGATTTCTGTACTTTTTGTAAAGAGATGCTTGCATATTAAACTGTGTTAAAACTATTATAGTAAAATATGAATATATGCTTGAAAATGTCTGTACAATTTGGCTATTTATAGTTGGCTTTATATTTACAGGGATTTTAAGCTTCTTTAAATACCATTTAAGTCATCTTCCTCTTTTTTTATTTCTTCATTTGAGTTTTACAGTTTCCTTTTTTCCCCCAGATGGTTATCCAAATGCACACCCAGTCCAGGTTTCAATAGCCACATTTTTTCTTTTCTTCAACAAAGAGTAGAGAATGGACACCAGCAATATCAGTATTGTTCACTGATAATAAAAGGAATATCTCTCAAGCAACAACTTCAGTGGGACCCCAGCAATCACCATTTGCAAGGCTTTATGGACTTTGGTCTTGGCAAACTTGATGCTGATGAAATGCCCCTTGCCTCAGAAACTATTTTGTTAATGGCAGTGGGTATTTCTGGTCACTGGAGAACACCTCTTGGTTATTTTTTTGTAAATAGGGAATCTGGGTATTTGCAGGCTCAACTGCTTCGTCTAACTATTGGTAAACTGAGTGACATAGGGATCACAGTTCTGGCCGTGACATCTGATGCGACAGCTCACAGTGTTCAGATGGCAAAAGCACTGGGCATACATATTGATGGAGACAACATGAAATATACATTTCAGCATCCTTCATCTTCTAGTCAGCAGATCGCATACTTTTTTGATTCTTGCCACTTGCTTAGATTAATAAGAAATGCATTTCAGGATTTTCAAAGCATTCAGTTTATTAATGGCACCGCACATTGGCAGCACCTTGTGGACTTGGTAGCTCTAGAGGAGCAGGAATTGTCAAATTTGGAAAAAATCCCAAGAAAACTTGCAGATTTGAAAAACCATGTATTGAAAATTAATTATGCTGCCCAACTCTTCAGTGAGAGCGTGGCCAGTGCATTAGAATGTTTGCTCTCCTTAGGCCTCCCTCCTTTTCAAAACTGCATTGGTACCATCCATTTTTTACGCTTAATTAACAATCTGTTTGACATTTTTAATAGTAGGAACTGTTATGGAAAGGGACTTAAAGGACCTCTATTACCTGAAACTTATAGTAAAATTAACCACGTTTTAATTGAAGCCAAAACTGTTTTTGTTACATTGTCTGACACTAGCAATAATCAAATAATTAAAGGTAAGCGAAAACTAGGATTCCTGGGATTTTTGCTCAATGCTGAGAGCTTAAAATGGCTCTACCACAACTATGTTTTTCCAAAGGTCATGCCCTTTCCTTATCTTCTGACTTACAAATTTAGTCAAGACCATCTAGAATTATTCCTAAAAATGGTATTAGTAACCAGTTCTAATCCTACCTGCATGGCATTCCAGAAAGCTTACCATAATTCGGAGACCAGATACAGATTGCAAGATGAAGCTTTTCTACATGAAGTAAGCATCCTTGACATTTCAGTTGATCGAAGGACAGACATGGCCCTTTGGACAGTTCAGAGCCAGTATGGCATCAGTATTATGAAGACACTTTTTCACAAAGAGGATATTTACCTAGACTGGTCTACTGGTTCGCTAAGTGAGGCACTACTAGATCTCTCAGATCACATGCGAAACCTCACCCGTTGCGCTGCTTATATTGCAGATAGACTCTCAGCTCTTGTACCTTGTGAAGAATGCATCAGTGCACTGTATGCGTCAGATCTCAGAGCCTGTAAAATTGGGTCATTGTTATGTGTTAAAAAGAAGAATGGTTTGCATTTCCCGTCTGAAAGTCTGTGTCAAGTAATAAATATTTGTGAGCGGGTTGTAAGAACTCATTCAAAATTGGCAGATTTTGAATTACTTCCTAAAAGGGAAGAATTATATCTTCAACAGAAAATCTTATGTGAACTTTCTGGGCATATATACCTCTTTGTAGATTTAGATGAGCATCTCTTTGATGGAGAAGTATGTGCCATCAATCACTTTGTAAAGTTACTGAAGGAGATTATAATCTGTTTCTTAAAGGTCAGAGCTAAAGGTATATCTCAGTGCCCTTTAAGACAGTACTCAGTAAGAAATGAAATAAAAACTTTGTCAAGGATACACTGGTCATCTTTACAGGATTACAAATGTTCAAGTTTTGTTAATACCAACAAATTCAGACATCTGCTAAGTAATGATGGCTATCCATTCATATGAGGGACCTAACTATATTAAATTTTTAATTAAAAAATAAGTGGTTAGTATGTAACATGCAGCTCACCATATTTTATAAATTGACCATTCAGCACAATGGACAAATCTACAGTTCTGATTAACTATAATTTCTCATTATGTATATCAACAACTCTGCTTCCAACTCTGTTATGTTTTGTAGCATTTCAGAAATACCCAAGATGTAGGAAGCCATAAATCAGTAGTAGAAACAGATTGGCAGTGGCTTCTGTCTTTGCATTTACTAACATCACATTGAGTAATATAACTGGACATACTTGTAACTTGTTCAGTCTACTTTTAAGCCACAGAAAATAATGACAACTGGAGTCACTGAAATACTGACACCTTTTATAAAGGACATTCTCTAAAAGCTTTGATTTAGTATTTTACAGAATACTTAAAAGATCTTGAATATAATTTTTATGAAAATTAAGATGATTTGAAAATTAAAGCAAAAAAATATCAAATGCCACAAAAAAAAAAAAACCCTTGCCAGTGTACCTTAAAATAGAAATGCTTATGCTTTATTAGGCAAAGGTAAACATGTGAACCATGAGGTAGAGTTCCTTGTACTGCAACCAAGCAGGGAATTGTGGTCTGGGGAGAACACGGGTGATAGACTTTTCATGACCTGTTTTCCTGGGTTTTGAAAACTACTTTTGAAAAGGGACTGGATATTGACTTGACTCATATTAGAAGAGCCCAAAATTCATCAGAGAATGAGAAGTCCTTTATTTTGATCACTAGCTACGCCTTCTGGTCTGTTCATGTTTAGGAAGAGGTTAGAATAATGATACATATTTTCATTGCTAAATAGAATTTTGTAGCATGTGATTGATAACTGGAAAAGGGATTGACTGAGACAATGGGGTTTTCTGGAAACTTAGAAGCTTAAATCTGATGATGGAAACATACTAAGGACAGTTTTCTCCATTTTTTCACACTCAGACTTGAAATGATAAAACAGAAAACAAGTACGTGCACTTTCACAAATGGGAGAATTTTAATGGACAAAACAAGCACCATTACTTTCCTATGTAAACATCTGTACTCTTTTTGCCCTTGAGTGAATGTTCACAAATTAGTTAATATGAAAATTGAAAAATGCAAAAGATTAATGACTAGGTAAATATTGGATTTTATTGAGGTTAAATAGTATATTTTGATAAATTTGTTCTACCTCAAGAGACTTAAGTTTTACAAGGTAACCAGAATTGTACTACATTTTAAGTTATTGCTGTGAAATCTGAATGTTATAGTTTTGTTTTCAATAGAGTAAGTTTAGATGCAACAAGATAAATCTTTATTAAAAGAAACCTATTTGTAAATCACCACCTTTAACTTATTGTTTATATAAATCCAAGTTTTGTACCTGATCTTTATTGAAAACTAGTTGTGTCTAATGTTCTTTGCTGTTACATTTCACTTATGTACTAATAATATATTTCATACTTTAAGAAATTAGTGTTTTGCGTTATTTCTTTAAGTGCTGGGTAAACTAGAGAAACACTAACGACATTTCCATCACTGTCTTTAGTATTAGAGTCTTGCCCTAGTAGAAATGCTCCAAGTCTTATATCAGATTTACTTGATGTGATATGCTTTACAGTGAGCTTTTTATTTTTTTAAGCTTTATTAATTTATGCATACAAGAACTGGGTAGGCCACGGGTGCAGGAGTAGAGAGGATTCACCGAAGACAGAGTGGGGAACAAAACAGAACAGGCAGATATATTGAAATACACTGCTGAGGAGAGCAGCAGGTGAGACAGAGGTCTGCTGCACCGTGTGGGTCAGCTCTCTGACTGGGGATTGAACTTGTACTGCAATAGCTGGCAATAGCTTGATAGTGCTGAGACTTAATCCCTTGTGCCACCAGGGAGGCCCAACACTGAACTTTTTTAATGAAATACGTTTTCATAATTCACGAGGGTGATTTTTAATTTCTACTCAGTATGTTTGTACTTTTTTCTTTGGCGAAAACAACAACAAAAAGCATATTCTTCTGAAATTTATTCTTCCTACTCATCCCAAAATATATTGCTAAAATAACTTCATATCCACATGCAAACATTAACTCAAGAAGATCCAAGACTTAAGTGAAAGAGGTCAAACTGTAAAAGTCTTAGAAGAAAATAGAATAAAGACTGGAATTGGTAATAGTTTTGTAAGTCATGACACCAAAAGCATAAGCAACAGAAAATAAATTGGATTTCACCAAAATTAAAAACTTGTGCTTGAAAGGACACCATCAAAGAAGTGAATATTCACAAAGCTTTGTAATTCATGTATTTGATAGGAGTTGTAATTAGAATAAAAAAGAACCCCTATAACAAATAATGAGGACAACCAATTTTCAGAATGGATAAAGAATGAGCACTTTCTTCAAAAGAAATATATGAATGGCCTATATATACATAAATATATTTTCAACATCATATGGGAAATACAAATCAAAACCATAATGAGAAAAAAAATGAGATACCACTTCATACACATTAGAATGGCTATAGTAACAGATAGTAACAAGTGTTGGAAAGAATGCACAGAAACTAGAATCCTCAATATACTCTGGGAAAATAAAATAGGCAGACAGTTTGTAAAGCAGCCTAGCAAAAGTTTAACCACAGTTGCTAGAAGACTCAACAAATATGATAGCAATAGAGCTATAAAACATGTCTATGCAAAAACTCTACAGATTTCATAGCAGCATTATAAAAGTGGGGAAAGTTTTAAGTGTCCAACTGATGAACAAATAAAGATGGGCACTATATCAACACAATGGGTCATATGGTAAGTCTATGTTTAACTTAGTAACAAACTGGAAAAACTTGTACCCTCTGCACTTTGATTAGGAATGTCCGAAAATCCCAGTTCATTTCCGTTCCCCAGTACACGGTATTATCAGGATTTTGTTTTGAATTAGCCATTCTAGTATGTGTGCAGTTATATTTCACTGTGACTTTCATTTCCATTTTCATAATGGTGAATAATGCTGAGAATCTTTTCATGTGTTTTATTAGCCATTGACATAATCTCACATGAAATACCTGCCCAAGTCTTATAGAAGGTTAGTTTTTTTAGAATTATGTATTCTGGAGCTAAAAAGTGCATAATCAGATAGGTTTTCTCAAAGCCTTTTTTTTTTCTTTGTGTATTTTTTGAAAAGCGGACATTATTAATTTTGATGTCAGCTTTTCTTTGTTTTATTAGGGGTCACAAATTTCTTTTAGGTATTCTGTAGTTTTTACATTTAAGTTATGACTCACTTTCAAGTTAATTTTGGTGTGTGGAATGAGTTGAGGTTTTTACATTTGGATAGCACAGCATCACTAGTTAAAAATACTGTTCTTTCTCCAGTGGATAGCTTTTATAAACCCTTGTCAAAAGTAGTAGTCTATTACAGGGCTCTATTTTGTCCTATTCATCTAAGCGTCTATTTTGATTAGCCACATAGAAATCTTAAAATTCAGGTGAGAGTTCCAACTTCTTTTTGAAAAAAATGTTTGGCTATCCTAGTTGTACCTTTACATGTAAATTTTATAATCAGTTAATTTCCACAAAAATCCCCTCTGGGATTTTAACTGGAGTTATGTTGAACCCTTAGATCAATTGAGAGAGAGAAATGAAATCTAAAAATAGACTCTTCCAACTCATGAACAGAGTTATGTTTACAGATCATTTGATTTTTTTAAATTCTCTACATTTCAGCACAGATCTTATACATCATTTTGTTCATGATTTTTATTGCTACTATTAAGTGAAATTTTTAATATTTGTTTCCAGATGCTCATTGTTACTTATTTTGCATACTAACCATGCTAATTTCACTTAGTTCTAGTAGATTAAAAAAAAAAAAAAAGATCCTTTGACTTTTCCATATAGGCTATTACATCATCCACAAATAGATGTCTTCTTACTCATTTCCATGGCCATCTTAGGGTCAGTGGGGGAGGGAAGAGAGGCTACTGTTAGGGACCTCAATTGCAGTGTTCAGTAAGATTGCCTTGTTTCCCAAAACATTCAGTCTTCATTCATAGGATGTTAGCAGCAGACTTTTGATAAATGCTTTTATCATCTTGAAGACCCCTTGCATTCCTAGTCTGCTGAAGTTGCTTTTGTTTTCATCCTATGGGTGTTGAGTTTTATCAAATGATTTTTCTGTTTTTCTTTTTTAATTTATATATTACAATATTCATTCGCTTGAGTATACAACTGAATAGATTTTGTATATCAAAAGTAATTTTTCTGTAATTTTTGAGATGATCATATAGCTTTTCTTCTTTTGTATGATACAGTGAATTATACTGATTTTTTTTAAGTTAGCTTAACCGTGATACATTTTTAATATATTGTTAGGTTACACTTTTAGTACAGTAAATACAGCATTAAAGTCTGTGACCTTACAATAGATTACCCTGAAGTAGAACTTAACTGTTTTTCAGTGAAAACTAAAACTGACTTAAATGTTTTTATTAAACTTTATATTTAAAAAGGAAATTTTAATTTTTGAAAAAGCCTTTATAAATCCCATCTAATAAAATCACTTGGATCATACAAAGCTTACATTTGCTCTATGATGATAAAATGTGCATTACAGGGAACCTAACAAAAAGCTCTCATAGTAATTTACAGAACAGAAAATAATCCAATAATCCAAGTTTTCTAGTTGATTGGCTTACCTCTCCTTTAGACTGCTGCTCTAAAATGCCTCTATCAATAATAAAATGTTTAAGGGATGCAATATGATCACAGAGAGGGCTGGAAGTCCTGTTCTCAAGCTTCATTTACATAGTATGAATTTTCTTACCTCTCTGTGTTACAGAGCAATAAAAAGAAAAAATTTTTCTTACATTTTATGTAAGACCAAGAAATGTCAGTTGTTCATATTAAAGGATGGAAAAGCTAAAGCAGTTGTTCCTTCCCAAAGTCACCGCCCTGCTAGTTTTACCTGTAATATTAAGTTCTGTTTCCCACTTCGTAAACGAGATGAGACCTACAGGTTGCATTTGGTTACTGAGAGAGAAGGAAGCGAAGAAAGGCACTAACCATAAAAATATCAAACACTGAAATAAAAGAATAGACTGATTCGCTGCCCTTAAAAGAAACTGGAAAAAAGAAAAGACAAATATTCTCATTTCAAAGCAATTTATGTTTATAATGGGGCAAATGATAAATTTATATTTTTGTAATGTGCTTTCAAAATTACAAATTTACTTAAAATCAGTTACTTTTAAAGATTTTTTTGGCATGCTAAATGGTTAAAAGTGGTATTAAAGAAAAAATGCAAAACCTTTTTTTTTTACAGAATAGTATAAATGTTTATTTTCTGTATGATTTAATTTGCTGTCCTGTTTGTACAATATAGAAAAGTGTATTCTTTGAATAGCTCTAGTAAATATAAACGTTCTACTTTGGGATGTAAATAGAGCTAAAAAATTATATACCCAACCTCCCCAATAGTCTTTTAAAATTGTTGCGTTAATGTGGATATTAATCTTGTTCAGCAATTTGATGCAAATGCCTAAATACAAAATGTTTAGAACTACACAGGAAGGAAAACACTTAATACTTTAGATAGCTTCTTGATAATCAGAAAAACTAGTAGCATTTGATTGCACCTTCAAATTTTTACAAGCAAAACATTCTCAAGCAGTGCCATCATACATAATCTACAAGTGTAATCCAAATTCACAAACATTTTCTGCACACTGTATATATAAATACACATCACAAAGGTGCAATTAGAATTAAACACAGGATATGTACAAAATGAACAAAGTTTAGGTTTAGACCAAAAAGGTATTGTAATCTTTTGAAAAATAACTTGATTAGATATTATTTTATCCTCTTACACTAATTTACATTTATACAAATTTTAATTAAACATACTAGATGAGGTGCTAAGAGTGTCTGCACTATCTACATTTAAAGTTACTGCACTGGAATTTTATAAATCCAAATTTCAAAAGATACTTTAATGAATAACGGAATCCTCTTTTGGATTACTTAATTTCTATTGCCTACATCTTGCTGTTCATATGAACATATGTACACACGTAATACATACAACTATAGATTCCTTGTAGGAAATGCAATAATAATCATCTACTAGTAATTACTGAGGATTAGGTACCTAACAAAATGCCTGAATTTCAACATGGTTTTTTTCCTTGTGAAAGTTTAGAGTCCTATTATAGGCTCTTAAATTCACAAAGCTTTGAATTTTGAATTACTGAAAATGGTTTCAGTGGTTTTAGTAATTATTTGAAAACACTCATACCTTCAGCTCATCAAATCACTGGCAGAAATAGTGCCATATTAAGCTTCCCTTATAAAAAAATCCCTGGTACAATTTTGAAAGCTATGTTAGAAGGCCCATTTCAGTACATCAAGAGTTACACATTGGTTTCAAGATTCTATAATGAGAACTTTGTAAGGATGAAAAATTCTCCCCTAAATTCATTTCTTAGAGCTTCAAAATTCTTTATTTCCCCATCCAAGCCAAATTTGATACCTGATATAATAAAGCTACTACTACTAATATGTACCTCTCATTTTAACAGTACCCAGTAATCACTTTCACAATTTATTATTTCAAATACATACCACCTCCTTGAAAGAAAATGAAAACATCCTAGAGCATTTCTTAGTCAGAACTTATTACAGAAACTTACTGCCCACTGAGAATTTTTTTGTTCTTTAACATTTTTTGTTTTTAAAAAATCAAAATGACTTTTAAAAGTGTGCTTACGGATACTTCTCTGCATTCCCAAAGTGACAAGATATTGAGAATCACTCTAAAAAATTGATTTTTCTTAAAAAGATAGTGCTTTACTAAACACAAAATGCCATTTGAATGTTTCATAAGAATTTATGTAGACCTTCTACCTGCTCATATTATAGGTCAAATACCAAAGGATCACTGGGTAATACCAATGCTTCTTTGGGGTTTTCTACTGGAACAAAGCCATACAACACCATACATTATAAATTATAGTAGTTTATAAATGTTCTTTGTCAATAGAATCAGAAGGATAGAACATCTTAATTCTTAAGAAACCCAAGCAAATTAAAAATCTATATAATACATAAAGTAAAATTCAATTTAAAAGGGGCATAAGCAAATTTAACTAAGATTTTAAATGTACTAACTTCTTCATTTAAAATTTCTTCTCTTTCAATATTATAATTTCAGGCCTCACAAGGACTGAATTAACAATACAATAATTGTTAAACTATCTTCCAGAAAATCAAGTGTCCCTGCACCTTAAATTTCTGTACAGTTCCATTTGTCAGTCTTTTGTGCAAGAGTTAGCAATTCATGGCACAAGGGTCACTTTTTGCTTTTCCTGCAGAATTGATGACGCTCATCAAACATCGTCCGAATTCCTCGAGTATCATCCGTTCTGCTGCTGCTTTTGATTTTCCTTTCTTGTCTGCCTGCTCAGCCTGGGCAAGAAGGCAATTACACGTGGCTTCAGCTACTTCCTTAGTTACAAAAGTAAATGGCAATCTGAAATGATTTTTGAGAGAAAAAGGGAAATGATGATGGCGCTGAAACTCAATAAAAGTGGATGACATTCTTTCATCTGGAAATCTATTGACATTTTCATGATTAACTATCAGAGTGAATTTTATCATTTGTGCAATGAACAAAGCACATCCTAAAAAGCTTTTAAAAGTCAAGCCTAGTTCTATTATTTAAAAAATATTGTTAAAAGAAACAACCTAATGTCCCACCTTAACGAACTGGAAAAAGAACAACAAAATAATCCAAAAGCCAGTAGAAAACAGGAAATAATAAAATTCAAATCAGAAATAAATGGATGTCAGAAAAACAAAAGAATAATCAGAGAATACTATGAGCAACTATATGCAAACAAGTTCGACAACTTAGCAGAAATGGACAAATTCCTACAACTCTACAGCCACCCAAAGCTAGAACAACTAAATAGGCCAATTACAAGCAAGGAAATGGAAAAAGTAATCAAAACCCTCCCCAAAAATAAAAACCCAGGACCAGATGGATTTACAAATGAATTTTACCAAACGTTCAGAAAACAACCAGGGCCTATTCTACACACTCATCCAAAAACTCAAAAAAGAAGGAAAACTCCATACTTTCTATGACGCCAACACCACACTAATACCAAAACCTAACAAAGAAAACTTCAGACCAACCTCCCTAATGAACACTGATGCAAAAATCCTTAACAAAATCTTAACCAACAGAAGCCAACAATGCATTAAATGAATAATAGACCATGAGCAAGTGGGCTTTATCCCAGGAGCACAAGGATGGTTCAACATCAGAAAATCAATGTAATCCATCATATCAACCGACAGAAAAATAATCACATAGTCATATCAATAGATGCAGAGAAGGCATTCGACAAAGTTCAACACCCATTTATGCTTAAGGTCCTTGAAATCCTTGCAATAGGAGCATACCTCAACATGATAAAAGCCATACAAACCCACACCCAATATTATCCTCAATGGAGAAACGCTGAAAGCCTTTCCTTGAGATCAGGAATAAGACAAGAGTGTCCACTATCACCACTGCTCTTCAACATAACACTGGAAGTTCTAGCCAGAGCAATAAGACAGGGGAAAAGCATACAAGGAATCCAAATAGGGGAAGAAGTAGTAAAACTGTCCTTATTTGCAGATGACATGTTAATCTACATGGAAAACCCTAAAAACTCCATAGAGAAACTAATCAAAACCATCAACCAGTTTAGCAAGGTAGCAGGATATAAAATCAACACA